TACTGAGACGTCGTTTTAAGACACTATTGGGTAGTTCAGAGGAATCGACATCTTCTTGTTTCTGAAAAAAAATTCAAAATTTTTCATTAATATACAATTGTTTTAACGTTTTAGATTATTTTTAAGTTATATATTCGAAATAAAATTTATTAAAAATCATCTCGAATTTTTCTTTATACATTTCTCTTTCATAAAATTGGATAAAATTGGATGATTTAATCACCTGTTCCTCGTTAGATTCGCTATCATTCTCATTCGATTTATCATCCGACAATGGTTTCTGATGACACAGAAGATCAAACAAAATTAAGCTACCCAAAGAATGGCCGCCAAGGTAAATTCCACCGTCGAAATCTGGATTTCGTTTCTTGAAAAGAGCATATAGCCTGTTCAATTCGTTTCCAACCGTTGTGATAATAGTTTGGCAATACACAGGACTGGTATAAAAAAGTATGTCGAGCAACGTGTCGTTGGTGAAGTGTCGTAATTTCGATATACTATCCAAGGTGATAGCTTGTAACTTTTTATCGATTCCAGTGTCGGAATGGAGCGTTGTATGCCACGAGATTGGTAAAACTTCTATCCTATTTACAATTCTCTGCTCACTAGCGGTTCGATAATGAGATTGTACCAATTGCAGTGAAATACTTCGAAATTCGTCAACTGTAAATAAGAAAATATTATGCATAATATTTTATACAATATTTTGTATAATAACTAAGAACTTATGATGTGAAAATAATTTTAAACGTACCGACTTCTTCCACAGTTCGAAATTTCAAATCGCAAACGCTACCAATGCCATGGACGAGGAACAGAACATGATCTATTTTTTCAGGCTCGCCATCTTCGATGTGGAACTCGTCAAGACCTCTTTTTATCACCCTAGGCCTACTACCAGCACCCTGTAAATATGTACTGTCCTCTGAGCCCTGTACAAATTGCGATTGAACATTTCTAACAATCATTTGTGCATAATGATAAAAATAAGTAAAAAAAAAAGATGTATGACTTAACGTAAAAGAAGAAGCAATGCAGAAAAATAAATTTGAAAATAAAAATGATTCAACAAAATGATCAAATATACAATTATATGAAATTAATATATATGTATATGTATTAGGTAAAAAAATAAAAAAATATAATACAATAGTTAAATTACATAAGATAAAAATATTAAATACATTAAATATAAAATATAATTCTTACTAAGATTAATTCTAAAATTAATTTACTACATTGCTAAGATTAACATAAATACTTAAATATTGATATTTGAAAAATTTAGTAATAAAGATGGAAATTAATAAAAAATTAAATAAAATATATTATTTACCGCACTATTTCCCCATGACGCAGCCAATTCCGGTGAAGCAGCCGTCAAGTAATGGACCTGAACAGAGGCGCTGTGGAAAATAATGTATTCCCCATTGTTCAAATCGATCCTTCGATTCCAATTGTTGAGCAGACACGCTTGTTTATACTCTTCCTCGAGTTTACAAGCGGTGTTCTCGTCGTAAGGAACGTATCTCGATTCGGTGGGTCCTTTGAAGAACCACGAGCATCGCCTCACTTCCGTCGATTCTCCGCTCCAATAAACGGGAGATCTCTGACGTCGTAAAATGTCAACGTCGTAACGACCTCCATCGGTGGCGACTGTCGTTTCAGGGGTAATTTCTGTGGAATTATGAACCCCTTCTAGGCGTAAACTGTCTTGCATAGAGAACGGAACCCATAACACTTTGTGCTCCACTTTTTTGCGATAAAACCAATGGTGATACACTCCTCTGTAGTGCATGCGTTTATCCGAAGAACCAGCGGCCTGAAAAAAAAATAAAACAAGATGAACATAATGAAAATAAATAAACGAACGAGATAAAATAAAAAAGAAAATAAAAATAGAGAAATGAACGATATCGTTTCAACAGATTCATAATCGTGATTGCATATATATTTACCAAATTCTGAAAACTTGGAGGCACACCGTCCGTAATGGCGCGTCCACTCAGCGGATTAATTGACATCTGGACAGGATTTAACGTAGCCGAACCCGTGGGTTCGAGCACGGTCATAGAAGGCGCAGTTGGAAATTCAAAATTGCCGATCCCGCTCGTTATATCGGACGTTTGCGTCGATCCGGTAAAATTATCGAAATAATGTTGACTCGTCGCTGGTGGCGTCGGCGTATGCGTCGGTATTTGTCTCGGCAGTTCGTCTTGGAATTGAGCGGGATTGTAGAACAAAGGTTGCTGGGCTGATTGAGCAGCCGCGTTACATGTTGCAGTCACAGTCTCTGAGATCTGATTGGTATCCCACGAGGATCGAGATACTTGAGGATTGGGATCGATCGGGCTACACACCGCTGCCACCCCTTGTTGCGAATCGTTTCTCGAGGTAGCTACGTCTAATTCGCGGGCATTCGCTGTACTTTCTTTGTACTGGAAAACAGGAAACGAGGAAACGTTGCTCTCCGGCCTGTTGAAGAACGAGCTCGCTGGTTGGGTGACGGTCCTCGAAGGATCGGTATAATTGACGGATGCCGAAGCCTCGGTCGCAGGCTGAACGTAAGTCAGATTCGATCTTCGATGATCTGGCACTTCCGCAAAGAAGCCGGCACTCGATGCGAAAGGTTGCGGTTGATAATATTGTTGTTGCGCGGATCGCACGTTCGACGATACACCATGACTCTGCGTTCCATTGAACTTTCCTTGTTGTTGTGCGTTCGCCTCTTGACAAGTTATTATCGTTGAATGCGTTATCTCCGAACCCTCTTTTCTTGAAAACACATTGCTCGATAAATCGTCGGGCTTCGATAAATCGTTCTGCTCCTCGACACCGGTCAACTTTGCGTCGTCATAATTTGCAACAGACCGTTGACACTCCGTCACATTTACATCGTCGATTTTCGTTTCACCGGGAAGACGAGACGGGTCTTCTTCACGCTCGGCGAGCAAGTGTTCCAACTTTTCCGTAACTTGAACCGCAGACACTGGGGCGAAGGTTACGGTAGGCTTCGGTTCAACGCCAGATTTCACTGCGCTCTCTTTAGGAATCTGCAATGCCGGCTCTGTCCTATTTTTCCCCGCCGCGGCTCCTTTCTCCGAGTTCTCGATCGCTCTCGAAGGGAAATCTCGTTGGCCCCCGTAACTATCGTAGCCGAAATAATTAACGTTGGCGGGGGTATTCTGCGGCGTGGTTGGTTCTGCAACTTGGTGAGGAATCGGTTGAGCTGGGGACGAGGTGGCGGGAACACCTAAATTCGAATTTTGATTCTGAGGCGTGACGCTTCTCGATGTACCTGTCGAGTTATAAGCAACACCAGATATCGCGACTGGACTAGATCTAAAGGACTCTTGCAAAGAGTTAGCCTGGGATAAGTACTCTGGCGTGGAACGTTGTAAAGATGGTGAATTCGTGGTGATCGATGTTTCAACGGGTTGGTAAGTTGGAATCGTTCCAACGGGCTCGTTTGGATTAAATATATTCGGTGTTGCGACGGGGTTATGGGGTGCGAGAAGGGGTTGAGTCACAGGGGCGGAATATTGCTTGGATGTGTTCGACGTTAAATCGGGCGGTGGTGCGTACTTGAGGCGTCTCTGATTGCCCAAACGATACGATATGGGGCCTGAAACGAGAGAAGAGAGCAAAGTTGAATTATTTCGTCGAATTAACTCGTTCACGTTTACGCGATTTTACAATCTTTGATAGTTGAGAATTTTTATTACTTTTTCGTACCGATATATATTCTCAAGACTGCACTTTTTTAATATATTGCCATTATCAATGATGATAAAATAAAAAAAAAAAAACGTACAAATATATTACTTTTTTAATAATATAATTAACGAAGTATGAAGTAATTCACGCAAAATGTTATTTGAAATATAAACATTCGTGTTTATTACTCCAATTTTTCTAATCTATTTTTAAGATTAACCACCGCAGATGGTCAGATTTCACAATGTTTATTTTCCAGTTTCGCAGAGATCTAAACAATTTACCATTCGTCGTGGAAGGAAGCGTAGGCGGCACCGTCGACTGTGGCGGGGTTGGCAGCAAGCTTCCACCGCTTCCGGGATTAACCTCGACGAATCCCGTAAAATTTGCGCGTCGAGAATCGTGAAAATTGGCGATTATAGGCGGTGATGTGTCCCTCAACGAGTCACGACGATCGTGCAAAGGCACATGAGGCTTCGTATTTTGTACACCGGTTACGTTCTCCGCTCCTTGATTCGGCTGGGACACGGAACCGTCGCCTGTGATCGACGACAAAGATAAATTCGGCAAAGAGGAGAGGATCGAAGTCAGGTAACCCTGCTTCGACGGTTGGCTCGTTGGATTCTTGTTTTCCTCGGGATGCAAGGGTATCGGCGTGAATTCGTTATCCGTATCGGGCACAGTCGGTGAAGTTTCTGAATTATGCAAATTGGTCGGCTCCTGTTCTACGAAGTTGTTCGATTCAGCGTCTGAAAAAAAAAATGTCGATGAATTTTTTGGTACAGTTTGTTAAAAAAGGAGCAATGTCAAGGAATGTACAAGATACTTTTATATATATTGATGAATTATTATAAATGTTTCTCTCTCTCTCTCTCTCTCTCTCTCTCTCTTTCTCGCCAAGTTATACAAAACAACAACATCTATTTTCGCGAAATTCTAATTTTCTCTCTTAGATCTTGCGAAAATTAGATCAACGTTTCGAGCAATTTCTAAAAATATCCAATTTCTCGAGCATCGAATTTTTTTATTTAAGAAATAATGCTCGTATCATTGTTATCGAAACTTAAATTAAATTACAAACATTCGTAACATTCGAGAGTAATCCTAGAGTTATCTATAATCTTCGATAGAAATCTCGATAATAAAAATCTGTTTAATAAAACAGAACCTTGAAACATATTCTTAAAAAGCCTTAAAGAACAAACGAAATAAACGAAATCCAAATTCTTGAAACTCCGCTACGCACGTAATAATCCATATATGACGTGTGTAAAACTATGTAGCAATAGGCTCGGTTTATCATACGACACGAGGTCAAAGATCACAAACTACTCCACGATCTCTTTCCTCGTAATGACGTATTAACCGTGACACCCTCGATACCCTGGAATCTCGGCTGGATTATTCACAGTGTGTCAATATTGAACAGGATACAATGAACGTAAGTCCCCGATGACAAAGATAATGGCCTGTATCTCTCACGATCGCGGCTGGCATCCTGTCAGATCTCGGATTACCGATTTCTATACGCGGCCACACATCCTGTACACGCGTGTACACACATCAAACACACGCGATTGTGTAACAACGCCGCGTTTACACCTAGATTTACTTTGCGGCCTGCTCGTTATCGTCCACGTAATTGGCGGACACCTTACCCTTTTGTAAACGAGCTACGCCCGCAACTTTATAAGTAACTGTCTCGTTTTTACGGCGAGTCTTCTTTCTTCACAACAAGTGCTCGAAAGATCGATCGCGTTCGATTTGCAACCATGCAAACGTTTTATACGTGTTTTTGGTTTTCCTTGCTTTCCTACTCGATGTGCATCAAGTGTAGGATGATTGCTGCTGTCAACCTTGAAACGAGCGAGGATTCATTCTCGAAGGAAAATTGGAAGATTTGGAGACGATCGTCGAATTTTGAAGATCGACAGATCCAACGCGGCCTGGAAGATTTTCGGATATCCAATGATTCCGAGGACTACGAGGAAAATGTTTTTTTCTCCACGGATAAGTGCTCTAGGTGAGACGATCGAGAGAGTTGTTAACTTTGGAAAGTGTCTTGTTAAGAGAAATTGCGTAAATTATAAATTATATCGAGAGATCGTTCTTATTAATCTTGATGATATAACAATATGTATAAGAGATATGAAAGATACTGCAAGGGATTATTATACTGAGATAATTCGAATAATTCGATTTATATCGAATAGGAAATAACGAGTTAAAATTTCAATTTGTTCTAAAGGTATTGTATCAAAAGGCAGATCGATAAAAATGGAAACAGTGTACAATATATTAATCTATTCTGGATAAATGGTATCGACGCAATGGGTAAGATACGGGAAAACACGGTAAATAATGTAAAATATTAATGTTAAATGTTCAAATATCTCAGATCAATCGCTCTCAAAAGATCATTCGGAGTTTCTGTCAAAAACAGATGCACTAAATCCAAACATCATCCAACATAGAAATTGTCAGGTATGATTCAACGTAATTAATATTGTTATTTCAATAATATCCGTGATTCTTTTCTATATTTTTAGATTTACCTTGACCTAGATTGTAACATCACCGAAGCGAGAACTAATTCGAATTATGCGAACAGGAAATTTCACTTGGACGTGGAAAACGATGAAAGGAACAAAGGCAAGAAAATTACAGATATTGTAAGTGTAATTATCAGATCCACACATCTTTGAATCATACGTATTAAGCGTACACGCGGAACACATCGATCTAACTCGAACTCGATTGACCTTTCACCAGATAAAAATAGCAGAAAAATACAATTTGACCGAACAGACGCAAATGAACTTCTCGGTCGACAACACGATTCATAGAATCGTCATAGACATCGATGGAAACGTTTCAAACGCATTGCTTCGAATACCTACGAGTAAGTTCCTCTTTAAAAATATTTAAAATTTAGAGCGATAATCAAAAAAGAAAAAAAAAAAAAAAAACGGAATAAATTAAGAAAA